TGGAGAGCGTGTCCAGGGCCACAGAGTAGCTGTCGGCAGCCGAGTCGTACGCCCCCGCCGCAAAGAGATTATTCGCCGGTTCGCACTGCGCCTCAGAGTGAGCCGAGGCGGCCGCTGCAGGCGCTGCAGCCGCTGCCGTGGCGGCGGCAAGTCCGGGGGCAGCGGTGCCCGACACGGCAGCGGCAGCCTCCTCCTCCTCCTCATCCAACTCCACCACCTCGGCGATGGGTAGCCTTTTCATCACAGACGATGCGGCGCTCAAGGCCCGTCCGGGAAGCGCCTCCCATGAGCCGCTGGCCTCATCGCCTTCCGCCCCGGTCTCCCCGCCCAGCCGGCCGGCGCAGTCTATTTTTGGCGGCAGACCAGCCGGACAGGCACAAGTCACTCCCCCCTCCCCTCGTGGAGAGTTGAGACCCCCTCCGCCCCTCCCCTTGACGTTGGCGAAGTTCACCGTGACGTCACCTAAACCTCTCCCGCCCACAGGTCGCCATCACGGGGATGTTCTTCCAGACGGCCATCACGGGCTCGCTCTACCCCCTCGTCGACAAGTTCTGAGGTGTCGGAGTAGTCTTGCTCTCCCAGGGCAGTAGCCCTGTAGCGTTGAGTCTGCTGCGCGCCAAAGCGCCTGTCCTCGCGCGGCGAGACACCAGGACCGCTGAGGCTGCGCGAGATCTGAGAGGACCTCCCTGGACAAACTTTACTCCCTGTGTTTTACAATGGCTGGCCAAATGTGTGAAGCTGAGGCGGGCCTTGGTCTACATTTTTGCTCGATACACTATCCCGTCACCCCCGGCCTTGCCCCACCACTTTGTCGCACCTTCCCACCTTGCCAGCCGAGGGTTTTTGAGCAGCTCGACCGGCATGTTTTGCGAGTATATGGGACAAAAGCGTCGAAAATGTCCCAAAAAAGCGTGTCTCGAGTTTGTGGCAGCCCCACAGCCGGCGCGCGCTGCCAGGAAGCACCGCTCGCGTGTCGGCCGCACTCCCTGGCACCCGGTGAGTGCGGCCGACCGACCAGACCGATTAGGCTCGACGCCGCGCTCGCTGTGGGGCTGCCACAAACTCGCCGCCGAGCGTGCCACCGACAGCGTCCTGGCGGAGGTGATGGAGTGTGAGACCTGAGGCTGCGGAGGTGACGCCTGAGGTACCGGCCCGTGCACAGCGACCCAGCCGGCGACCGCCACGGGCTCAGGCGAGACTTGTCGACGCGTTCCGGCTCAGCTTCACCGTGGTCATCGGGCGTCTGTCGACGTCAGGACCACCCATACAGCTCGAGGGTTTGAGGTCGCAAGAGCCAAGATGGTGGCGTTTGGACATCCCAACCATCACACAAGACAGCCTGTAGGTGATGGCGGGACGGCGCAGTGTTTGTGGCACTCGGCAGTAGGCACCCGCGGCACGGCCCCGCTGTCGGCTCTCGCGGGCTGCGGAACCGGCCCCAGAAGGGGACGGTCCGGGCGAGTGTGGCAGCTCCTGCGCTAGCATGGGCACCCTGTATCATAGCACTACTGATCCTGGTCATAAGAGCTGCCAGGAATAGCGTCAGGAGCCGGTAGGAGTCAAAACCCCTCATATTTGAGACATCGTGTCCCATATACTCGCAAAACATGCCGACCCTGGATGTCCCGAATCTGTTGGGAGTGTGAATACCCCACTCGTGTATATAGAGAGATGTCCCTGTTGAGTACTGTCCGATAGTCGAGATGCCTTGTTCCAGAGGGATGTGTCCTGGACGGCGTCTCGTCGTGGTCCTTCAGGACGATAGCTTTGTCCCTATCAGGACGATGGTGATCTTGGTGTGATCGCTCCTGTACGCCTCGGTACAGACCCTCGCTCCGTGTACAGCTCACAGCTCACTACATGGTTCCTCCGGCGAGATTGCGGAGCGAGGAGATCGACGGCAACTCGGCCGTCGTGAGTGCTGGTGCGGTGCGGCTCGCACCGCACAGCTTCCCGGCTAGCGCTCGATACGGTAGCCAGCACCATGGACACCTGCGGGGCGTCGTGGTGGCGGGCAGGGCCAGAGCCCCTGCACAAAGTCTTCTCGGCACCTCGGCCGGAAGCCTGCTCGGCACCTCGGCCGTGCAGCCCTGCAGCATGATCCGGATGATCTCTGCGGTATGTTCCTCTTCGGCACCCACCACGAGCACCTCGGCTTCGTGGGCACGGATCTTCATTGATAACTTCATCTCTCCTTCTTCACTTCACCGGCTCGCTATCATCTCCTGCGAGCCGCCACCGCCGCCGCCGCCAGCTCTCGAGCCCGTCCAGTTGCCTGGTCGCACGAATCTTGGACGCCTTCTCTCACCGCCCTCCTCTGCCTTTCGCCTCTTCGCTTTCGCTCCCGCCGCCCGCCGCCTGTGGCGCGGCATCCGACGAGCCCTCCTCGTCTACACGACGACTTCGCCCGAGCCCGTCATATCCGATGCCTTCGCCGCGGACACCGACGACGCCTCCAGCGACCCCGTTTGCGGCTCCGTCTTCGACGCCCTCGACACCACCCTCATCGGTCCCGAGGAGCGCCACAAGCTCCCTGTGCGCCCGTCCGACCATGCCGACTACGGCCTGTGGCACGCCCGCCTCGGCCACTTTGGCAGGAGCAAGATCATCGAACCACTGCGCTACAGGGGCTACGTTTTCCGCCCCGGCAGCGACCGCTGTGAGTGCGCTGCATGTCGCCTCAATCGCCGCCGCAAAGGCCACCCGAGTCAGCCGACCAATCGCCGAGTCTACACCCACTTTGGCGAGCGAGTCGCGTCCGATCTCTGCGGCCCCTTCAAGCTTCTGCCGTTCAGCATCCACAAGTTCAAGTTCGCCATAAACTTCGTTGATTACTTTTCTGGGGTGATCGCCGTCTACTTCCTCGAGAACGGCAGCTCCCCCGAGATCGTCAGCGCCGTCCGCGCCTTTCTCCGCGACTACGCTCACCTCCTCACCGACACGCGCAACCCCGGCGTGATCGACGAGTGGTTGACCGACAACGCCAGTTATTTCACCTCCGAGCTCACCGACGAGTTCTGCATCACCCTCTCCATCCAGCGCTTCTTCTCCTCCCCCGACATCCACGAGGGAAACGCTCTCGCCGAGCGCTGCTGGGGAACCCTCCTTCACTGCACGCGCACCGCTCTCGTCCACGCTGGGGGAGATCGGGAGCACATTCAGTTCTGGCCCTACCTTTTCAGCCAGTTTGCCCGCGTCCACAACCTCCTACAGACGAACAGGGGCTCCAACGCTGAGCCACGATGGGTCTCGCCTATCGAGGTCGCCAGCGGCCACCCTCGCAACTACGCCCTCGAGAACTTCAAGGTGATGCTCTGCGACTGCTCCTGCGTCCTCCCCGAGTCGCTCCGCGCGCACGACCTCACCCCCACTCGTCTCAAGGGCATCAACCTCGGCCACGACCCGCGGCGCTCCAAATACCTCGTCTACATCCCCGCCGTCCGGCGGATCATCTCTACCGCCGACGTCATCTTCGACGAGTTCTCCTTCACCACCCTCGGCGGCGCCTGGCAACCCTTCAAGATCCGCGGCGCCGTCGAACAAGAACGCCCTCAAGTCCCCGAGGCGATCGTCCGCGCCGAGCCTCCCGCCGCACCAGCGGCGCCAAGGGGCGCGCCCATCGCCCCGCCCGCCGCGCGAGCTGCGCCCGCTCATCCCGCCGTCCCGCGGCGCTCAGCTCGGATCGCCGCGCGCGGCTGACCAAGCTCTACTACCCATGTTGTTCAATTGAAGACATCCAGTCGACCGCTCAGATAGTCTACTACCTTCCGCTTGAGCCCGGGAGACGGAAGGTCACATGCCACGTTCACTAGCTCGCGCCTCTGATCAGCGTGACAATTACTTGCTTCACACTCCGCTGTGTTGTCTGCCGCATCTGAAGACCGCGCAGACAATGGGGGAGTGTTGGGAGTGTGAATACCCCACTCGTGTATATAGAGAGATGTCCCTGTTGAGTACTGTCCGATAGTCGAGATGCCTTGTTCCAGAGGGATGTGTCCTGGACGGCGTCTCGTCGTGGTCCTTCAGGACGATAGCTTTTGTCCCTATCAGGACGATGGTGATCTTGGTGTGATCGCCCCTGGATGCCTCGGTACAGACCCTCGCTCCGTGTACAGCTCACAGCTCACTACATGGTTCACATTGGCTCCTCCTACCAATGCAACCGGAGGCTGCCGAGCACCAACCTCAGGCGGCAACGGAGGCAGCACCTCTGGCTGCCGAGGCGGCGACGGGACAGCAGGACGCGTCGTCAAGCGGCCCGTGCCCAACGGACGCTCCACCCAGTGGGGTAGCGGGGTCCGAGGCGGCCGACAAGGTGCCACCGCCCGACCCAAATGACCCGGCGGTACAGATGCGGATCAACAACCTCTCCAAATGGGCGACCGTCAAGGACGTGAAGCATCTGCTGGAGCGGCGGCTTGGCCTGACTGGCGTGCGCAAGGTGCGCAAGATTTCCAACCAGGACTACGCGTTCGTCTACTTCCAGTCCGCACAGGAGCGCCTGGCTGCGGACTCGGGCATCAACGGGCACAAGTGGAAGGGCAGCGTGCTGTCGACGGCGCAGGCGAAGCCGCTCGACCCGGACAGGCACCTCAAGCGCGAGAGGGAGGGCGGCGAGGGGCAAGGCGGCAAGAGGGTGTGCGCGCAGCAGGCGGGCGGGAGGGGTCGAGGAGGCAGCGGCGAGGCCGGCGAGGCCGGCGGCGCAGCGGCCGCGCGGACAGCGGCGGACGCGGCGGCGCCGCTGCACCGGCTCGAGTACGCAGCGCAGCTCGAGCAGAAGCAGCACTTCGTCGAGAAGGCGCTGCGGCGGCTGCCCCGGGAGATGCAGGCCGCGGCTCACAGGGTTGTCTCGGGTCCCCTCGGGCCCCCTCGGGTCCTGTCGGGGCCTCTCCTTTCCTGTCGGGCTCTCTCGGGTCCTCTCGGGCCCTCTCCTTTCGGGCCCTCTCGCCCCCCCTCGGGTGAGATCTCCCCCGGTCATCTCGGGTGATCTCCCCCGGCCC